ACTGACTGACCAGTCTGACATCTAGAAACCCCAGAGCAAATCAACAGTTCTGTCCATTGATGTGGGGTTTTGTGCAGTTTTTGCATGGCACGTGTGATTTAGAGGACAATTAGGCTCCAGTTCATGTTGTGTTTCACTTTGTAGCAGACTATAGTGTCACAACCAATGTGCGTGTTTTCTTGCTGAATTAAATCTTCAACAGGGAACTTTGTATTTGTCAGTAACATGAATTCTGATAGCTGCACAAAGATCTGGCATGTTCTTGCTCTGTGATATGTTACAGTAAAGCCTCACGGTACCCAAATGGCTCCTGTATGCTCTGCTTGTCTGCCCTGAGGCATCACAACTGAGAGGCCATGCAAAATATAAAAATCAGGCACCCTACTGCAAACTAAAGTCAGGTGATTATAATGGTCTCCCTCTGAGTGACCGCGAAACCAAAAGAACCAATTTAGAATGTGAGCACAAAATCAGGATGTCATGCTGAGAGGCCCTGAACGGGCTGGTGACACTTGTGCAGTTGTCAGTGACTGTTGATAAATGTCTCCCAGGCGGGGCTGCAGTAGCAGTGGGGGATGAGGTCGCTCCCTTCATAGTTAAAGAGCTACGGGATTCTCGGGGGTGAAAGGCACTATACAAACACAAGCATTCACATTTTGTTACAGACGTGTGATGTAGTCACGGATGATATAAGGGAGAGCGGCCGTCACCTTGTGCACGAACTGCTCCACACGCGTCTGCAGGCCCCACACCTCGAACTTGACCGTCACCAGCTTGTAGGAGCACATGATGGGGTCCTGGCTGTCCCTCCAGCCCTCCTTCAGCAGCCCCCGAGACGTCTTTGTCGACTTGAAGTACCGCAGGTCCTGCAGGGGGGCCAGCAGAAGAGCATGAGAAGAACAGCGAGGTGTCCTAATTAAAGGTAGGGTGCGCCTCCCGGACAACGGACTCACGGACAATGTTGAAAAAACAGAGAGAGTCTGGACACCTAAGACGAGAGACAGAGCTCCAACACGGAACTGTCCGAGACACCCGGCTCCAGGCTGGAGTTAGGAAGCACTTAGCATTTTCTTTCATAAAACGTACGAAAACAAAACAAAAAATGACCTAATATCACAATAACACTGCACCTCACACCTGGACATCTTGATCGTACGGCTCAGCAATTGCAGTTTTTCTAACCTTTAGTTTTATGTCACTAACAGACAAAGCCTCCTCTTATAAAAAAAAAACCCAAACATCATTCATTAATCATGGGGCAGAGCCCAGTATTCCATCTTTTTGAGTTTGGACAATTTATTTCCCCTAGTAAGATTCCTCAGTGTCTGCTGTTTTCTCCAGATGCCTGGTGGGAGCCTCTTTAAAAGAGGCAACTGCTGAAAGATAATGACATGAAACCACCTCTAAAATCTGCATTCTTTAAAGAACTCACTGAAAACTGCCCCTATAGCTGGGCAATCTTTTACAAAGTCTCTGAATGCAAATGTATCATGCTAGGAGAGTGACACCTATTGACACTCTTGGATGGCATTACTGTACACCCAGGTGCTCCTGGAAAACTGACAGAGGTGGTTTGGAGGGTCCTGGCCTCTTTGTGAGGCTGTGAGACTAACTCTTAGAAAACAGTGCCTCAGCAATGAAAAGGTGACACATTTCAGGATCTCTTACATGCTGTACAGTCACGGAGAAAGAGGAACCTGCTCTTTTCTCCGCACGCAGGCAACTGAGAGAGGAGAGAGCGGTCTGTGTGAGCAGTACGTGATCCAGACATTATGTGTAGTACATAATCTGCCCACTAGGGAGAGAAACGAGTGGTAGGGAGACCATCTGTAGTGTACTACAAATCAGTCTGGTGAATTCTGTTTACTAAGAACACGGGGGCAGAAGCAGGTCTGTTTGCCCGGACTAATAGTTCACGAGCCACCGGAAGGACCCCTTGCATCAGCGATAACACGGTGTTTTTGTGTTGCTGAACCAACTCTCCAGCAATAGAAACAGGAGCTGGGAGGAATTAGTCCAGAAAGCTGCACGGCAGGGTCGCTTCTGCTGCGGTCACGACGACAGGCCCGACGGGGGTCACGGATAATTGTCGCACTTCTGTTCACGGTCACTGCCCGCTGAGGAAAAACACCGCAACTGCTGCCTGGAGACACGACAGGCTCCGAGTATAAATCCTGAAGTGCAGATTTCCGCATGAATATATCACTCCCCGGCGTGACGACCCTGAACTAGCGGCCTGACGAGCGCTGAACGCCGTCACGACGCTTCAATGCTCGACGTCTCAACAGGACGACACGGACGGTCTGCACGATGTACCGGCCTTGTTTACCTCGTGAGACACCCCCAGGGATCCCTCCCCTGCTTGGAAAGAAAGTGCACACTTCATCCCTAGAGGACTGGGTTGGGACTCCTCTAGCGTCTCATTAGGAGAAACACCGCCCCCCCCAATCCCCAAGTCTGCCCCCGTCCCCCGTTTTTCCTCGCACCTCCGACTCCTTGTAGTAGCGCTC